GATTTATTTCACTAATTCAATTCCTTTCAGGTTCATCCATGTTTTCAAAAATGACAGGATTTCCCACTTTTTTTTTCACTTTTTTTATTAGTTGCTCATGACAATACAATGATTTTACAACATTTGATTCAAATGTATGATATGTCAAGATCATTGGCTCAAAATTCTGATGGCTGGAAAGTCTAATTCCAGCTGTCTTCCAATGTGTTGAAATGGAAATGAAARTGGTAGCATGGCTACATGGGGTGGCTTTGCTTTCCAACAACCTGCTCTCATGAGAAATATGATATTCTCCCCTGAGAATATCAATTCCTTCCAAAGGTGGTAACCCCATGACCAAATCACCTCCCATTAGGCCCCACCTTTTAAAAGATCCATCAATTCTTAATACCATTACATTAAGAACCAAGCCTCCAGCATGTGAACTGTTTATAGGAGAAACCACATCCAAACATAGCAAACTTGTGTATGTTGCTTCCATTTCCTAACCACCCCAAAGACCCTGCTTATGTCATTGACATAGGTAAGCTTAAGTTGACAAACCTGCAGAGGAAKCCACAATAGCTATTTCAACAGAAAATACATATTTAAGAAAACTATTTATGAAAATATTTTAAAATAGAATACATCTAAAAATGTATATTTACATCTCTCTTTGTGGGACATGACTTTATATTTAAATCAAATGTCTTTTTCCACATTAATCCATTTCTATTCCAGTTTCATTGTACAGGTATTAAAAATAGAAAAGCAGTTGTTARTCTTCCTTGAAAGTATTCAGATTTTCTGCCGATGTCTGGGCTTGGCACTGAAATCACGAGCCACCACATACCTTGTAGATTCAAACAGCAATTCTTTATTCCCRAACTCACAGAGGCCTCCACACAGGTTCAGGGGAATTCTCCATCTGCCCGCAYAATTCACCTACTCCATGAGGCTTTTTCCCAAATCCCATTTTGATCTCATGAGAACTCAACGGGAACAAATAGCAGGAACACCCTAATCCCAGCAGCAATAATCTTCAACCTCCAACTTCCCTAAAACCCCTATTGTCTTAAACCGGGAACGCCTTAAACTCAAGGAGCGGGAAACTTCCTCAAACCTGATCAGCTCTAAACCCGGATCCGTCCTGGTCTTTGAGCAAGGTCACCTTACTAAAGCATACATGCAATGTCCCATCAAATGTCCTCTAAGCAGCATGGGGTACACTGGCAAGGAAATCTCCATGCATCATTCCTACTTGGCAATGGCCCTCAGCAATTTTCAAATTAGCTAATTCTGAAATCATCTGGATTTTTTTCATATATGGAAAAAATCTTTTTCATGTAAATATTTTGGGGTGCTGGCGATTGATCCAGGGCTCAGGCATGCAAAGCATATGCTCTACCATTGAGCTATACCCTCTGCCTCTTGCAGTGAATTTTATAAATAATAAAATCTTTGACATCAAGAATGACATTGCAAATTTTAATATTTGGCATTGGTGATTAATATGTTAGTAATATGAATGTAAATTTTGATGGAGCACATCATAACTAACAAGATACTCTTCCAAAATAAGTAATCCATGAGGCACAAATGAACTTGGGATTGGCAGTGGTGCCCTCATTATCCACGATCACATGCATGCAAGTGATAATACCAACCAATTCAATTAGAGATTGTATCGCACACAGCTGTGCATGCATGTCTCATATGTACCAAATTGAGATAATAAGGATTTGTGATCAAGATAAGCCAAAGGTGGGGCTGGGGTTGTGGCTCAGTGGTTGAGCACTTGCCTAGCATGTGTGAAGCACTAGGTTTGATCCCTGGCACCACATAAAAATAAACAAATAAAAAAAGGTATTGTGTCCATCTACAAATTTTATATATCTTTTTATGGGAGGCATATGCTCTACCATTGAGCTATACACCCTACCTCACACACACACACACACACACACACACACACACACACACACACACACATATATATATATAAAACCTAAGTTTCAGCCTAGCAGCAAATGTCTCTTTTGTTGCCCGTCATCCCTTTGATTTTTGGAGTACTTGAAACTCTAAATAATTCTCAAACTATACATTCTCTAAAGCTATTTTGCTCTTGTAAAAAAAAATCTTTTAGATTTTTGATGCATTTTTGTCATAATTATTTGGACATTTTTAATGACTAAAGTGCTAATTAACTTCACTATTGGAAATTTTCATGAACAGAAGTGAATAAAAAGGTGTCAAAAAGGCAACTTTTATTCTGTACCAAAGCAAAAGTGTATATGGTACAAAATAAACTATGAGGTCAAAATGCTATATGCACCATTTTCTTCTTAAAATCTGAAGTGACACTTTAGATTATTTCAAAGAGTGGGGGAAATCTTTTGATTTTTGTTAGGATAAAAATATATTCTGCCAGGAAATGGAAAGAAATTGAGAAGCCATTTATATTTTGCAATAAATTTTCTTAAATGTTCAAAGGAATCACAGAGACATCTTATATTGTCCTGAAAATTGTTTGACAGATAAAGTCATATGGATGGATATAAAAAATACAATGGCCTTGAAAATATTTGGACTGAAATAGACATTTAATATTTAACATAGAGAGGGGAGAATATTCTCCATGTATTACATTTTTGTGAGTTCTCAAAGTATCTAAGTGCTTGTAGAGAGACTTTATCTTAATTGTGGTCTACAGTGGGGCTTATAAGATGTCAATTTAATGACCATTAAACTTTGAAGATGATTAAGAACAATTTTACTTAATATTAGAAATGAACAGATGACTTTATAATTGTATTTTCTTTGAAAAGTAACTCTTATGTSGGAGTATTGACAGATACAACTTAGGAAATCAGCTAAAATATATGATTATTTTCTATTAATAGCTATTCTTCACAGATTATAAAACAGTCACATAATAAGCATAAAGAGAAGTTTTTGTTTTAATGCACACAAAAATATTTTTATGTTTTAAAACAATGTTTATAAAAAATGAATTTCTAGTTCTTCAATGTAAGTAAACCAAGTTGTTAGTTGGTAAATATTCTAAAAATCATATAATTTCATTTGTTTTCACCTTTAAAATACACAGGTATGGCTGATAAGATATTCCTTGACCCTAGATACAGTGGTGCTCTTTACCCTCATCTTTGGCTACGGAAGATTCAAATTAAAACATCAAATGCGATAAAAACCAAAAGGACATTTGGGAAATCACTTCATTTATTATTTTGGTGTGCTAATTCATGCTTTCTTCACAACCAGAACCTTTGTATTTGGTTGTTTCATAGGGGAAAAAAATTGGACAACTGAAATAGGAAGTTTTTATGCAATTCAATCACATGGAAATTTGAGTCATTTTCCRAGAAATTGTTTTGACCTAAACTGGATGCCACTGAAAAGAGGAAGCCACTTCTGCCCTTTGGGTCAAATTCCCCAGTGCTTTCAAATACTTCTTTACAAATGTGAATACTTGTTTGGCAGACAGAGATGGGTTTTCACCATTGTATTCCTTAAAACATATCAGTGGGTTGCTGATCGTGAATTAGGKCGCTGTGGCAGCATATCTAATTTTTAACAAAAACTGCTTGAGGAATTGTAGTAAGGGAAAGTAAGCATTTAAAATTAGGTTTAAAAGTGAAAATATCTTCGAAGTTTGATGGTACAAGAAGAAATAATAAACCTTACTTTGCTTTCTTTATGTATTGATTGGATGGAGGACTACAGAATGATACTATAAAAGTGTAGGCCAGATGGCAGGAAGTTACCAAAAGTTCTGCACATACATTGTATTTAAACACCCAACCAGCACACTTCACAAGAGAGAGGCTGGCAAAGGTACATGAAACCCCTGATTCTCTTTTTGGTCAGTTTCAATTCCAGATTCATAAATGAGGGCAGAGGCAAGAAAGGAAGCATGTACTTCTCAATATTTCTGCCACATTGGTGCTTTTACGAGAAATCCTTAGGGTAATGGATATTCCTTCACTCCATTCATGGCTCCAGTTTGATTTGGAGCAGGGATTATAGGATGAAAATAATTTTTTTATTATAGGAATGTCCTCCTTAAATTTAGAAGCTTTTGTTCAGTAATTTAGCATAATTCTAACCAAAGTAAAATTCTAGATAAGAAGTAAGTTTTGTAGAGTTGCTTGTAGCTGGTGTAATGACAACAATGACTCAGAAAGGCAGGACATTGAATAAATCCCAATTACAGGGAAGCTAGCACATACCAGCGAAATATAAGAAACAATGTAAAACTACAATTCTCTAGGGAATTATCCTTCCTCAAACACTTGAGTGATTTCTATTTTTATATCATTATACCTATCTAGTATGGGTAAAATATAAAGTTTTCTACATGAAATCTGAATTCATTTGTGGGAAGAATTGGAAACTGAGGAAGATGAACTTATATTTGCTTCCAACTTTCTGAAGAAATCAAAACTATTGAGCATCCTTCAAGGCATAACTTAGTTAGCCTGCAGCCCTTAGTACTATATACTGTGGCTGTCTGTACTTGCTCTGTGTCTGGGTGGTAAGCAGAGTTTCAGAAGTCACAGGTCTAGGAAGCATATTATGTGTAAGTCCAACATGACCTTTCAGTCTCTATGGGAGCATTTCTGAAGGACTGTGATAGAAGAGGGCTGGGGTGAATTTACATGTAACCTTATGTGGACAGAGGAAACCAGTTGGCCATACTTAAGGAATTGCAGATTTCTCTGAGGCAATCAACAAGTCCACAGGGAACTGAAGTCCCCGGTTCCAAAAGACTTCCATTCATTACATGATATTGAGGTAACGATGGAGCTTTGACACTATGAATGAAAGGTGAGTGAAGAGATAATCATTTTGGGAGTCAATAAACATTAAAGTTGTGAAAAATGTGATCTCTTGAAATCATTCTGTTGGTTAAAACTATGTTATTATAGCATGGCGTAATAATTTCTATAACAGAATGATGAGAAATGAAGTTACTGATTTATATCTTTCATGTTTCCCAGGAATCTGAGAGAAAGGGGTTAATTGAGAGAATCTACATGGTACAAGATATCGTTTCCACTGTTCAAAACATCTTGGAGGAAATAGCTTCTTTTGGAGAAAGAATTAAAAAGTAAGTTCTGCATATATKTTGTATTTAAAGTAGATTTGCCACCCACAAAGATGATGGGAGAAAGGGGGAATGGGATCAGAAAAATGCAAAAAACAAAAGCAGTGGTGTTGTGCAAACCAGTTTGACTTTGGTCGCTTGTTCTTTGGGCTTGTCAGCTTCATAGTTGGGTGGTGCCTCAGAACTAGGGTGACCATATGGCTTAGTTTACACTAGTTGTCCCAGCATAACTATTAATAGTGTCCTCTTTCACTTTCAGAAATATCCTGGTTTGGGTGATAAATTATAGATTAAAAAAATAGAATTGCCCTCTGCAGAAATAAAAAAGGAAGCAAGTATGCTTTAACAGAGACTTTTTATATCGGAACCTCAAGACACTGTGAAATTTTTTCACTCAATTCTCCAAAAAATTGTACAATATTAACACTGTCATAGATGGGTAGACACCAAGTCAATTCAGTGCGTACGTTACGTGCATGGCATAGGATAGGAGTTGACAAACTCCTCTGTAATGGGCCAAAGAGTAAATATTTTCATAATCTGACACAACTACATACGTCTTTTACTTAAGCATAAAAATAGAACAGTCAATACATAAATGATTGGGTATGTTACATGTGTTCCAATAAAAGTTTATTTACAAAGAAGGCAGGCTGGGTTTTAATCAAACCCAAATCATTCTTTACTTTTGAGCATAAGTGATAACTTCTTTAACTGAGTCCAAGTTAAGACTATGATTCATGTTCTTTTTACACATTAAAATCTATTACATGCTCTTCATTTGGTACCATTAAAACAGGGAGGTTTTCTTTCCTCATTTAATCCACAATTGTGCCAGGAATGTTCTAAGAATTAACACTTATCTTATTAATTGGTCATTTCTCTTCRCTATTATACTATTGTGTCATTATTTTCTGCTTTTCCATGAGGGGGGGAAATCACTAATTGCCAAATAGATTTCAGTAGCACTGGTGGTGGAACGAGGTAAGACAGGCTGCTGAAGAAGACTGACCCACTCCAGAAGGGACGCAGGGGACACAGCAAAGGAACAGTTGTTGACGCAGCAACAACTTATAAGTATTTGCAAGAATAGGAAGAGATAACRGGGCAAGGAATGGAGGAGTGGGGCCTTCAGTAAATGCGAGCCCTTGTGCACCAGCTCAAAGCAAAAGACAGGTAGATACAGGAAGATGGAGGACTCAATATGTCATAGGGGATAGAGATGGCAATGCCTGGAGATGAGGTGTTTCATGCAGGGCCTTCAGGGGATGGAAAAAGTCAATTAAAAAAAAAAAAAAAGATGAACTACTGGCAGCAAGGAGGGCRAGAGGATGTGGAGTGGGGGCAAGGCCGAGGAAGGAAGATCATGTGGTTTGGTAAAACTGGGTCCATTCTTAAAGGTCTCTAAAACACAAGCGTAGCTGTTGTGTAGTTGATAACATTAAAGGAAATGTGTCTGATGAGAGAAGAGGGCAGAGGGATTTAAACAGACTCTCGACTCTACRGTGTTTTTGAGGGGCAGCTGTGCCCAGCACAGCTGCGGCAACCATGTCTGGGATGCATTTTCAACCCATCAACAGGGCTCTGTTCTGCCCAGCTGCAACACAGGAAGGCTCATACGGCTCAACTCCTATTAATTCTTTGGCCATTCATGATTATAGTGACCTTAGAGTCCCTGCTGTGCATTCAAGAGGGATTTCATGTGTAACTCTATTGGAATTCAGTGCTCAAGAACCAGGAAGACTTTTACCCAACTTTTGGCAACTAGCAAATAAACACAGTTACATAAAACTCTCAGAGCAAGGCTTCCCTGCCWCTAACTGGGAGAAACCCAGTGGGGCTATATTTGCATGGAATAATAAACTATTTTCTTTTCACCTACTCTACCTTCTCTAATCAGCTTCTCTAATATTAGGCATATTTTAAATATACAGATCTGTCAGACTGAAACATTTATTCAACTTGCAGCATTTATGTTAGTAGAGAGCATGGGTCAAAAGAGTGATGTATATTGTCTGTTTTATCATCATCGAGTGATGGCYTCAAACCTTTAGTGGCAAAGTCACCTCCATGGAGGAGATGAGATTAAGGCCAGAGTAAGCCATTTCTACACATATTCCAGAATAAATCTTAGAAGGTACATTCATATGAATTGAAGTTACTGTCCTCGCTATCACTGATGTTGTGAAATCCTCACCCATGTAGATGGGAAAGCAGCTGAAATCACATTCCCAGTGGAAGGCCATGGGGAATGACTGATGGTTGGATTTTGTGTTTGAGAATAACATGCCTAAAGTAACAGAGACAGAAAGACCACTGAGAGAACCAGCAACCAGGTGTGAGGAAAGCATTCATAAGCGAGTGTGAAAACTACACACATGTGAGGAAGATACCATGTAGGAGACATGGCAAAAAATGAACCGTGGCTCTGGAGCCAAGATTTTGAGTTCAGATTTTTTAATGTTCTGTCAGACAGGGAGTAAGTGATATTGGATAAGTCTTTCACTGTAAAGTGGAAAAGGCAATTATTCCTAGAGAACATTTTTTTTGGGGGGGGGAGAATAACATAAAAGCATACATCCTTAGGAATCTATCTCTGGATGGCATGTTTTAATAACATACTATTCTTTGTAAATTGCCTTGAGTTTCTTCCTCTGTGTTTTAAACCCAGTGAATGTTACCCCGTCCCCACAACACCTGAGTTTTTGAAAGCACTTTAAGGTTGTGGGTTACTGAGGGGAAAAGTCTATTACTTGGCTGTTGGRAGGACACATCTGTCAGGACTTCTGATGCACAACTCCATTTCTTGCATCCAACATAAATCTATATGACTCATCTTACACGAACTGTGTTTGTATCATTATTAGGATGGCACCCATTGGAAGAAAAATTTAAGTTTGCTCATAGATAAACTTGTTGTCTTCTTCCATCATTCTGGTCATTTCTATCTGTGTACTTTTTAATATTTTTCTTTATAGAACTCTGAATTTTTTTGTGAGATAGAGTCCTAAATATTTGGTTTGTTTGGTATTATTTTCTACCTCTTATTTATATGTAGAAGTGAAGTTAATTTTCCTATGTTGACTACGTTATATCTAATAGCCTTGGTAAACTTAGTTATCATCATTTTCTTAGGAAGATCATTTTGGATTATCTATTAAATTAACATATCATCTAATTTTCAATTTTCCAGTCCTTACACATTTTAATTTTTGAGCCCTACAATACTGCTGGTTTGTAGTTATAGGACAATGCTGAACAGAATTGGAGCTCACAGGCATTCACTTTCTTATGCAGTTTCAGAGAGAAAGGTCTCAACAGTTCACCCTTAAGAATGATATTGGCTTTGGTTTTTGTTAAGATGATTTATCTAATTAAAGAAATTTCCTTTTATTCCTAGTTTGCTCAGAATTTTACATCATGAATGTGAGTTCAGTTTTGTCAAACACTTCTTTTTTCTGCATTCTTGGAGAGGATCATATGTGCCTCCCTCCATTTTTTTTTAAATATGGTGTAATATAATGATTGTTTTTCAAGTGTAAAGCCAATCTACATTGCTGGAATATATTCAACCATCCAGATTTTCTGTTACGCAATTCCTTCATATAGTGCTTGTTTTTATTTACTATTTCTGCCCCCTTAGTATTTTTGTAGCTATAATCATTAATGAAATTGATAAATTTCTATTTGTGAAAATCCCTCATATACAGAAGGTTTTAAATACATAAAACAAGGTTGGATGGACTGTCCTCTATCTATTCCCTGGAAGCAATTGTGTGTAAGTCTGGAATCATTTCCTGTAAGACCTGATAGTTTTGCTGGTGAGGTATCTGGGCTTGCAGTTTTCTTTCTGATGTTTTTAATTAAATGTTCAGGTTGTTATATATTCTTCATGTGTTTTTCCCATTTTTTTCTCATCTGTTTATGTAAGCCTATAATTTTTAAAGAGTCTGTCCATTTTATTCATATGTTATAACTTATCAAAATCTGTAGCTGGTCTACTGTTGTGATTTTTATTGTCCCCTGACCCCACCCCAGACACTCTTTTCTTCTTGACAGACATTTATCAATTAGTCCTTGGAAGGAACCAGCAATTACTATGCTCATCTTCTGTTTCCATCATTTTATTTGGCCTTAATGTATATTCTTCTCTACCTCTTTAACATTGGTGATTAAGTCACTTATTTTCAATGTTTCTTCCTAATGTAAAGGTTTAAAGTTCTATGACTTTTGGTAAACACAACATTTTGGCATGTAGTAATTTAATTTTTTTTTTCAAATGTAAGTAAAGCCATTCCTAGTTTGATTTCTTTCTTGGCTAAGAAGTGTATTACTTAATTTCCAATACACTTTGGGTATTTTCTAGTTATTATTTCTGKTTTTTAGTTTAATTACTTTAAGTTCACAAAATAGCGATACAACTATGGTCTACTTTTGCATATTTTTATTCAAGGTTGAAAAGTAGATTATTGGGTTATTGTGCTATCTGCTTGTTAGGTTTTCTCAAGTTCAGACCTTTTACATGTATAGTATCTTTGGACTTTGGTTGGCTACCTCTATCAATTAGAGTTGTGTTAAAAYCTTCGACTGTGGTTGTGAATTTATCTTTCTCTGAGGTTTTGTTTTTGCTTACTCTGTTTTTGAAGCTGTTATTTCGTTTTTATGTGTCAAAGTTGTCATATTTTCTTGAATTATTTATCTATATGAAGGAACCTATTTAAAACTAATAAAACTTTTCTGTTTTCTTGATTTTTCATGTAGTTTTGTCACCTCCTCTTTTACTTCCCGATAAATACCTTTCCAGTTTTCCCTTTAAACATACTTTTTTCAGATCTCAGTCCTGTACCTGGMAATCACAAACTTCAAGTTGTACCATGTAGTCTATTCAGAGTTTGTGTTCTTTTATAGACTTAAACCTGTGATTTTTAAGTACCCTCTTCATCCTTGCTCTTTATGTTCTACATTTTCCCTCTATTTCCTAGGAACGGAAACACTAACGCACTCTTGCTATTCTTTCAGTTGCCACACTATGTTAAGAACATGATTTCCCATGGTCTAAAATTGTCTGAAACCTTCTTTGTCTGTGTTCCATGTCTCTGAACCTCTTTGCTATCATTCCTTGTTTTGGGCTCTGTGATGCTAAGTATTTTTTTTTTTTTTGCATGATCTTGCACTATCTAGATTCCTATGCAAAACTTCTGTTTAGTTCATTGAATTTCTAACTGTAATCATTATAGTTTTCATTTTTCAATGCTTCTTGGTCATTTTTCATTCCCTAGTTTGACTTTTACCATATTRAATATTTAATTTAATATATTGGTTTGGATCTCTACCTGCAGTATTTTACTTTGGAATTTGCTGTCTGCTGTTGCTCCTCTAATTGTGCCATGTTTTTTTTTTTTTTTTTTGCATATTTAACTGTGAATTCATATTCTTTGGATTTTTATGTGAGGAGTACTGAAATATCTGGGTTGATATTGCATATCTCTAAGGAAGATTATTATTAGATACCAGAGATTGAAGGGAGGGACACCTAACCACTGAGCCACATYCCCAGCCCTTTTTATTTTGAGACAGACTTCCCCTAAGTTGCTGAGAGTGGCTTTGAATTTGCRATCTTCTTGCTTCAGTCTCCCAAGCCACTGGGATTACAGGTGTGCACCACCATGCTGGGCCCAGGATGATTATTTCTTGAGTGACCTTGGGATATTATCAACATGGGATCATTTTATCTTCCTTAAAGTTTATACTTGAAGCTTTTCAGTCTACACTGGTAGCATAATCTTAGATGGCAACCCTTTCTAGCTTGTGCTAAAGTGACAACAGGCATAGTTTTCTATGTCTACTCATGGATAGTTTTTCTTCCCTTCCTTCCATTCATTCTTTCACTCACACTCATCTTTACCCTGCATACATCAACTTTATTCAGTGGTTCCCAATTTGATTCTTTTTTTTTTTTTTTTTGAGGATATTCTAGGCTTTACCTCCTGTGCCCCATGCACTATGCTGGTAACAGAAGCTCGAAATCCCAATATTTGGCAGAAGTTATTAGAGTGAAAACTGACTTTGAAGCTTCATTACCTCAGAGTTCTTACAATTTTATTTTTTATTCTATTTTCTTATTTTCATATTTGTATAATGATGGCTATTTATCTCGTATTTTTTAAAGGTGTATTGCTAGGAGGAGAAACATGTATGTCTAAAAAGTAATTTTCTAGATGTAGAAAACAGCAGAAAGCATGATTTTTAGTTAAAAATCAATTTGGTTGTTTTATTAATGAACTTTGTTTTTTATTGACAAAATAAATAATATTACATATTTTGTAGCTTTTATTATTTTCCGTTTTCAGAATGTTACCTGATATAATCCATTTTCATATTCTTCACTTTTGTGCAATAACAAAAAAATGAGGGCAGTGGACAGTTCTTGAATACCTACTAAGTGCCAGATAYTGTTTTACATGCTTTCTATTTATTAAATCATTGATCTCCTCAACATCTCCACAAGAGGATGGGAAGATRTTATTTTCATCCTACAAATGGGAGAAGTAAAGCACAGAGAAGTTGAGTACATTGCTTGAGGTTATGCTTACAGTTCATGAGCGTTGGAACAGATATTTTCAAATTATAAACTATCAGGTTAATAAATAATCTTCAGAGGTGACTAAAGAGCTGCAGATTTGAATCAGGATCTGCTGCTCATGTTTTTACTTTTAAAAAATGCAAAAAGGTATCAAGTTTAATATTTATTTTTTGTACATCCATTATAAAAATCAACCAAGTCTCCCATTCTACCTTCTTCTTTCTCTCCCCCAACCCCATGATATTTAGCAACTGTTAACTGGAATTGGTTACCTGGAGTAAATCCTCAGATTCTCTTTCAGTATGATAAACTTATACATGTGATACTTGTATATATTTAGTAATGATTATATGATCATTATATGAACATTTATTTCTGCATTTGTTTTCCACTTTTCTAGTTTTGAGCCTTTATGGTAGAATGTGGAGATCGTATCAGTTTTTAAAATTTATGTAGTATTTTAGAGAATTTTATCGCTTCTTTTTCTTTATATATTTCTAGAGATTCCCCCTTAATGATAATGAGGTTTCCTGTTTGTATGTGTTATAAACCAGCCTGGAGCAGACATTCATGTACTGCCTCTTTGGCCTTTGGCAAAGATGACTGCAGGTTAAATTCCTTAGAATACATACTGCACATTTGCCATCCAAAATGTTCTACTCTAGAAGAGAGAGGACAGAAATGCTTCAACATATATGTGGAAATTCAATTCAGGATCTGCTACTCATGTTTTTACTTTTTAAAATTGCAAAAAAGTGTCAAACTTAATATTTATTTTTTGTACATCCATTATMAAAATCAACCAAGTCTATGACAAGTAACAAAGATGTATTCAAGGAGTATGGGAAACAGTGATTTTTATAAAATTTTTCATCATTGCACTAAACTCAGGAAGGTATCTTCTAAGACTGGCCAAATACTGGGATGGAAAAGGAAAATCAGTGTTAAGTTTGGTAATATTTTAATTTACAATACGGACAAAGCCTCTAACTGTAAAAATATGATMACAAACATGAGAAAGGACCAATTTCTTTACCATCCAAAGACGTATTTTAAAACACTTATGACAAAGTCAAGCAAAACAGCTTCAGGGAAAATTCACAAATAGTAACTGCCTTTGCATCTCCCCCTTTTTTTTGAGATTTTATAATGTGCCAAATACTGAACTAACTACTGAAATGCAAGTTCTTATTTAATTCTAACAAAATTTATGACATAGGTGTTATTGTTTCTATTTCGCACAGAGCAAATTATAGTTCAGATTGATGTAGTCACTTTCCCAAAGTTACTCAGCTTGTAAACTCCTTTTTTTTGATGCTTTTATACACTGTGACCCTGAGCAAGGAAATAACTTATTTCTTAATATCTTCTATAAAAATCATYAGCAAGCATATTAAAAGTTGTTCAAATCTACTTATAATTTAAAGAAAAAAATTAAATGCATACACAAATGTTATCTCCATGGGCAAAGATGAAATATTGATAATAGTCTTAAGAGTGTGAGGTACCTAATTCWATACTATTGATGGAATTTTGTTTATATACAAATTAGCCTCTCATTGTGCTCATCTGTAAAATGGGGATAATACTTAGCAGAATTAGTAAGAGCATTGCAGTTTAAATATATGTTCAGTACTAGCACAAATTAAATGCCTGATAACCGTTACATGCTACTTCCTCCAAAATTGCCCAAATTCTTTCCCCAATTCATACAAAAGACAACAGAAGAAACCTTTACCTCTTGGTATTTTTAGTACAAGGCAAAGAGTAAACATGTAAATTTGTATGGGAAGATGAAGATTAATAAGAAGAACTACTCTGGGTGTCCTAAGTAGGGCTCTATTTTTAGGACTACTCAAGAATCTTTACATTATATGGAATTCCACATCCCAAGGTCTAGGTCTTCAAGACCAAACAAGCCATGCATGTAATCAAAGGATCAAAGAGCCCCATGAAAATACTGTATGGTAAAATCATACCTATGATTAGTGGTGTGATGGTTTGTAGCCAGTGCCCCCCATCCATTTGAGAGCACCTTATTTCTGCCTTTTAGAGTAAATGAGCTTGGAAGTTCTAAACAGAAGATATTAGAGAATGCAGAAGCATGAAAGCACCGTAGTCATCTTTTTAAAATATTTACAACTATGTATTTCATTGACAGAAATATTGATTTGAAAGGAAGTCCACCAAAGCTTTGAAGATCTCCATGCAYAGAGCCGTCTTGGCAGTATCACAGTTTTTAAATCACTGAGAGTTGTGATAGCTTTGCATCTCTGTGGACAAAATACCTGACAGAAACACTTTAGGCAAGGGAAAGGTATATTCAGGCTTACTGTTTCAGAGGCTCAGTCCACGGTAGCCAACTCCATTGCTCTGGACCTGAGGTGAGGCAGATCACCATGGCAGAAGAGCATGATGGAAGGAGGAAAGCTTCTAAACTCAAGGAGGCCAGAAAGCAGAGAGAGCAGCAGCCAGGAAAACAAGAAATATAATCCCCAAGGGCATGCCCCCAGCTACCTACTTCCTCTGGGCACATCCTACTGCCTGGAGTAGTCTTTTCAAATTATTAGTTCATCAAAAGAATTAATGCACTAGAGGGGTTATAGGTTTCATAATCTAATCATTTTACCTTCAAACATTTCGGCATTAACACAGTGTGATGTTTTAATATGTATCTGCAAGTATTTAATAAAAAAATTTTAAGTAGACATTTTATACATCTGAGCATGAAATACATATGACAAGGTAACTCCAGAAGTTGTTGAGCATCAAAGGAAATAAAATTTATGTGGTCTGTCTACAGCACGTTTAACTGGACGGTCCCGTTCCTTTCATTCCTGGCCTGTTTGATTCTGGCCGTAGCCACCATCACTTTGTACTTCATTCCACTGCGCTACATCATTTTAATCTGGGGTAAGTTTGACATGGTCCTTTTGCTAGCAATCAATTTCAGGTAAGAACCAATTACTCATTTTTAAAGTGTGACTATAAACTTTAAATGTGCTCTTGCTGGCAATTAAACAGGAGATTAAGGAAAGCATTTGAGGAACAAACACTTCCAGGACCTCCCTGGAAAGGCCAGTGGAGTGAATGATCAGCATGGATATTTATAGGCCCCTTGCATAATTGTGATCAAATAAAAATGTGATAGTGCATGCTCTTTCCCTTTGGGATTTTCCAGTCATAAATCCCCTTGAATAATATATTGCTGTGGCCCAGTAATTTTCTGGAAACACTGTGGTTCAAACAAGGAGCACACACCTGCATCTTGCCCTTTATATAATGTCAAAGTAGATCTGATCACTGCCAGGTTGCTTCTGACCCTTCGTCTCTAGTGGACTTAAATCCAGAAGGAGTGGGGGTGAAGGAGGGAACATTCTGTGAGTATTTATCAGTGCCTTAAAAAAAAAAAAAGAGGAAGCTATTGTTTACCAGGGGAAATGGGATGCTTAAAAAGTTTAGCTGCTTTAAAAAAGGAGAAACAAAAACATAAAAATATCAAACTTGAAATAAATTTCCTGACTTCACACTCATGAAACTTTGTGGATCTTTGTGTCTGTTGCTGGGTGGCCCCTGCTTGATGTAAGGAGAATGCACTGCACTAAATGACTGGGGACTTGGCAGCCTTTGTCTTGTGACTGTTGTTGAGCTCTCCTCCCTCATTACTTGCAGAGAGCTTCCTATGTCAGGATGTTCAGGGAAATCACAAAAATGAGAGTCTGTGGTGAGATGCACTCATCTTTATGCATGGACAGAGAGCCTGGAAATGCTGGATTAAAGCTGCAACTTTTCTAGAACCATTACAAGAATCCCTRCAAGGGATTTCACCTAAAAGGTAGAACCCTGTGCACAAGGAAAGCCAAAGGTGGACATTCAGAAATTGGAAGAGTCATGGGAAAAATAGAACTCATAAAATTACTAGAACTAACTAGAAGGACTTTGAGAACATAACCCAATCATTCTCTACAGTATTTAGAGCTGAAAATCTTATCTAAAGAAGCCTCTGACCTTGGTGCAAGTCTAGRAAGAGAAAAGAAAAAACATATTCTAACCCTCTCCTGAGGGGTAGGAATTAACACTTGGTTCTCTGCTGTTGCTTCAGACAATGTGCATCCTTGCAAGCTCTCTTGTTGCAACTGGGGAAAGTCCTCTCATGCACAGGTTTGTTTTACATTGCAACAATGATAGCACTTTGGTCATTAGGAAAGAGCATGGGCCTCTCTAATGGCTCATTGATTAAGGCAGGATTTTTTTTTAAATATTCCCATGAGTACTTTATATGCTAAATATTATCTGTATAGACTGGATAATCTTTTTCTTTCACAGTTGTTATTTTGTGTGTGTGTGTGTGTGTGTGTGTGTGTGTGTGTGTGTGTGTATGTATGTTTGTGTTTCCAATTCCTGACCACATTTACAACTTATACCTTCATATAGCTGTCTGTCCCTAACCAGGTGCGATTCAAAATTACAGTTCTTTGGCTACTGTTTTGTTCAAACAGCTTATCTAATTTGAATGCTATGGTCTGCTGTTAAACACTAGTACATACTTGATTTATTTATAGAGCTCCTTTCCTCCACAAAGGCGACTAATACAGTCATCCCTGATCCCAGAACCCCCTGTGGATACCAAAATCTACAGATGTTCAAGTCCTCTGTACAATGACACAGTATTTCCACATAATCTATACCTGTTCTCCCSTGTATTTTACTTATAATACTTAATACACTGTAATCTCAGTGTAAATAGTTGTTATGCTGTATTGTTTAGGGAGTAATGACAAGAAATCTCTGCATACATTCATTACAGAAGTAAGTTTTTTTCCCAAGTATTTTTGATCCAAATGTACAACCCAGAGACACAGAGGGCCAACAGTACCATTTCCTCCTTTGTCAATGTTAGGATTCTAACCGTTCTATTTACCTAAATCACTTTGACTTCTTCCAAGATATTGGCAGCTTTCCAACAACTCTTTGCATCTACTTAGTGAAACATTTCTCTCTTTCTTGTTCAGTTTATGGATGAAACTATTAAACAGCATAGACTTTATCATTGTCTCGAAAGCCAGCAGTAACCCTTTGAGCTTTACCCTCTGGAGATTTGGTTCCACCTTCTATACAGGAATTCATAGTTTACTGGTGAGCATATTAAAGACAGAGTGGACAAATGCCTTGACAATTAATCCATGATTTCATCATGTAAGACTTGTCTTTCCATCCTGAAGTATATTCTGCAGTTGCATTAAAATTTATTCATTTTCAAGGCAAGGTAGTTACTAGCTACTGTAGGTCCAGTACAGTGTTTTGCATATCTTTTATATGATTCTGTCCCCTGCAGATGCTTTCTCACATGAGAAAAGTTGTATGTCAAATTTATAATGATCCTTTAATAATGTTTCCTGGACCATATGAAGTTACTTATTTTTATGGAGTCTTAAACATATGAATAAGAGCCTAGCATTTTGCTAGATAYTCATGTTCTATACATGGAAATAATGTTTTTGTATAAATATTTTTTAAATCAATTATTTGACATAAGCATATGAAAATATTCCTGGACTCCAATTTACTGTAACGTTTTGATAGGTGAAACATGTTTTTCCCTCTTTAATGATTTTTTCCCTCTTTATGATTCTTGATGCAGCAACATAGATATAAATCTTTAGTGAGCAGTCAAAAAATCCTTTGAGTGCATGAGTCTCAGCCTCCATACCTGTACTCTCCATAGGTGACTCTTTCTTGAGCCCACAACTTCTCTTGTGTGGAACTGTGATTTTTAGAAATTGAGAAGTAGATTTCAAGAGGGATATCTGAAGTTTTCTGTAGAAAAATATCTACTGGAATTTAGTCACTTGATATATATCCAGATGGTAAAGTATCTTTTAAAAATTTTTTTAAATTTGTTTTAGTTATACATGACTGTAGAATGCATTTAAGCACTCTGATATATCATACACAAATGGGGTATAATTTTTAATTTTTTAATTGATTGTACATGTTGTAGAATCACATCAGTCATGCAGTCCTAAGATTTGATTGCATTCATGTTTTCTGTTGAAGAGTTTCCCAATATTCTTTCAGTTTTTCATCACAGATCCTAGYTATAGCTTCCCAATCTTGGACTCTACTTTTAAGTTTGGGGCATTTTGCAAGGGGAGCCAGGATTTAACTTTGTATCTCTAGTTGATAGCATCACAGCTCTCATATGAAAGGTGCTCAGGGTTTGAAAAATGAGTAAGCAGGGATCCTGTATAGACCCCAAGGAATCACACTGAAGAGTTACATGCCCATTACTTATAGAAGTTTCTGAAAACTTCTTATTCTGTTTTGAGTGCTTATTTTCAAGTTACTGAGTGTAAGGCAGTCATGAGATTTTCCATATACTCTTTCCCCACATTTATTTGTTTGTTTGTTTGTTTATTTATTTACTTACTTTTACATTGAAGCCCTCCTTCCACCCTACTCATCTATTTATTCTGAGCTCCATCACCATTGAATGATAGTCTCTTTCCCAAATGCTATCCTTTGGGACTTAGATCTCACTTGTTTTATTATAGCAAAAAAAAAAAAAAAGTTTTGCTTTGTTGTTTTTGTTGTTTTTTAACAGCAGATAGACCTCTCTATGTGTATCATTTAGGTYAAAATTTAAATTTACATCTAGTATCCTACTAGATGATGCCACACATTCAGATTTTTCTTGTGATCATCTATGAAAACTCTTCTCTACGGACCTTCTTTGGCTACCTAGCTTATTAATACCCACAGTAATGATTGCAGCCCCTCCATGGTTGTGGAATTACAGAATTCTTTCACATATCTTTTCCAGCATGATTCTACTATCAACCCTAGACATTACATAGGGCAGTTTTTTTTCATTAAAATTTCATGAGAAGTTTAGAGGTTGGCCTTGGGTCAGTTATAATGCAGAGGAGGGTTAAGTGATTTGCCTGAAATCACACAGTTAATGTATCATGTAGCTGAAACTGAGGCCCAGGGATTCTTGCACCATCACCTTTGTTGTGATCCCTCATTGGCCCTTAAAAATGACCAAGAAGTCCGTGATCTCCCGTTGGCCCTGGATCTCACATAATAAATWGTATGTTGGAATTACTGTAATAGTCAAACCTGGGATACCTTTGAAAAATAAGGTGTGCTTTTGAAGCATGCAATCTGAATGCCTTGTAATTTTTATTCTAACTTTTTCAAACGTAGACAGTCTCAGTGCATTGTGGACTACTTCGGCCTTTATCGGTGCATTTGAGCTACTGTGCAGGTTTATAATCTTCTCAGTGTCTGAGAATGCTGTGTTTTGATCGGCTGTGATATTATCCCTGCCTTGCTGTTCATTGTAAAGACTCCAGATGCGCACACTATATATAATTAACAATAGAAGATATATCTTTTCTCAATACGTCTTTGTCTCCCTTCATCATTTTGCCTTGTCTGTTTTCTTTTGCCAAAAAGCCCATGCTACAATTAAATGTCTTTAGAATAACACAGTGAGAGTATTTTAGTTTAAAGGAAACACTGGGGGAAATTTTAGTTAGAAACATGAAGCTTGCTGTGGGGGTAGAGGGAAGAAAGGCAAAGTGCAGCTTTGACTTGAGGAAAAGGGAATCATTTGCTGGGAACCTTCCCTAGCCCAGCCACCAAGCTACCATTTACTCATGAACAATGGCTGGCCCCCATTTGCAAAGCAGATGTAAATCTGACCCCCCAAAGAATGGACTGGAGGTTGTCATTGTGTCAGGTATAATGCCATGCAGGAAGTCCAGTCCTGAGATGAAAGCAAAGTAATATTTAATGAACAAAGAAAAACATCAAACCTTTTATGTGTTGGGAGACTGTTGAACTTGGCTTCTGAGTAGGAGCCATTCAGAGCATAACTAAGCTAAGAATCCATTCAGCGGTCATTGGGACTGTTAGGCCTTCAGATAGGATCCTTGTTAAACAAGCACCCTGTGGCAAAACTTCAGAAGGCCACCTAGTCTTTCTGCTTCTAACACTCAACATGAAAAAAAGAGTTGACATTTTGGTGAAAAGACTACAGATTGTGAGCTCTGGGTACATGCAAAGTAGCCCCAAGGAGCACAGTGGAAGACAAAAGGTGGCGGAGAGGACCTCTTCACTAAAGAGGAAACCATGGGCAGAGTGTGTCCTGGGCAGATACAGGAACCCAAAGTGCAGCCACCAAAGATGGGTGCTCTACAGTGGGCTCACATCTTAAATGTTGAACCCCTCTGTAATAACCATYGTCCCCATCCTAAATTAGCACATACTCCCTTGTCCAGACAAACCCACTCTCCAGTGTTGCAGTCCCCAAATTAAGTTAGCAACCATAGTAAGATAATTTTCCAATAATAACTTTTCACAGTTTCCTGCAGCATCAAAGTACGATCAACATGTCAAGTTCTGTTCTGCTGTGAGAGAAGAGAATCCTGTGAAAATGACTTGGAGGTGGGGGGAGAGAGATTGCTGCAGTTTCTTTCTAACAACAAGAAAGTCCCGCCCTCCACCTCCCACAGCTACACGGGGTCCTGAGCCTCCAAGTAGGGGCTTGTTTTGGCTAATGAAGGCCTTTTCCCATCTGGGACATTTGTTTTCATAGCAAAGGAGGCTGTTAATCAGTATATTCCAAAAAAGCCAATGAGCTCTCCAGTTTTAGTGCTTGTTTCTGCTKCCCTGCTGCTAGGACTGTAATGGGATTTTCACAGCTGAAGAAGGCAGAGCCCCTCTTCCTCCACCCCCTCTACTTTCTTCCAGGAAAAGGCATTTGTGAATGATTCCACATGACAGCAACATGTGCATGACTTGAAGTCTAGTAATTGTTTTCACACTAATTTTTACTTGTGAATACCCCTCCACACACACTCAAGTCAGGCAAGATTTTTAAAAATAGGGATGTAGGTAGACAGAAAGACAAAAAGCTCTCTGGTGTTTCTATTTTTCAGGCATAAATAAATTTACCAAGAAGCTCCGAAATCCCTTTGCCATCGACAATAATGAGCTACTAGACTTCCTCTCCAGGGTTCCTTCCGACGTTCAAAAGGTATGTAATGAGTGCTCACCAACAACAGGGGCTCCAACACTGAGTTCTAGGCAGCCGCAGAGCTAAAGGACCACAAAACTCTGCTTATGTGAGTAATTGAGATAAGGAATCTGAAAAGCCCTAAAGAGGCCTGGCTTGCAGGGAGGTGGTATTTAAAAAAAAAAAAAAAGAAAAAAAAGGCAGCTTTGTCCAAAGCATGAGATGATTGGGGGAAATTATCCTGAAAAAGAGCTACTAAAGAATGATCTGGAACTCATACCGTGCAGCTGCAGTGTGCTGATGCTTGGCCCTTTTTGATTGCTTACCTCCCTAAAGAGGACAAGATGGGCTCAGTAAGTGCAATTGCAGGAGATCCAAACCTGAGGAGTGATACTTATTTTCTTCCTTTTTCCGGATGGCAGGCATTTATAGGGAATAGGGAACAAGAGGATTATTCTTTTTATTCTTGTTTGCCCTGATTATCTCCTGGGCCTCCTTTCTATCCCCTTTCCTGTAAAGACTTAAAGATGGTAAGGGCAAATCCCCCACTTACTTTGCTACATGGAGAGGAAGAGACGGCATGAGATAATTTGAGATCAATCACAGGTATTATTCACAGGTAATGGTCACTTAATCCAGCAGCGTCTCATTTCTGTGGATGCTCGGAGATTAATGAAGACAACAATAAGAAAGTCCCAAAGAATAGCTCAACGTGGGTCCCTGCAGATTAGCCTGGTATAAATCCTAAGGAAGGCAGGCAGCAATTTCACTAATGAAGAATAGGTTGATGGGGAGACATTGGATGAAATATCATCGAAGATAACAATATTGTGTTATCTGAGAGAATCCCAAATCAAGTATCAGTTTTCACCATTGGGCCACTGTGACATAGTTGTTCCCCAGCATCTGAGTGGATCATGGAGAAATAGGGCTTAAGGTCTTAGAGCTCCTTTCCCCTTCATTTCAAGTTCTGGAGATTAAAATTGACTATTTTTTTCTTTAACCTTCACTTTATAACTGTTAAAGAGTAAATTCATCTTCCTAGAATGTATTTTAACATTTAAATTATATAATTAAAAAGTAACCTTACTTCTGTTTTGCACTGAAGACTGACAGGTATGTCATTCTCTGCTCCCCTAACTAAACCTTTACGAAACACTGGAGAAAATGGTGGTGTTTTTTTTGTTGTTGTTTTGTTTTGTTGTTGTTGTTTTGTTTTGTTTTTATTTTATCTGTTTTTGGCAAAGTATAGACTAACCTGTGATTGGGCCTCATGTCCTTGGGGAGATTAGCACAAATGCTAAAAATAGTGAACACATGTGGTCTGTAATACAATAGCTTAAATAAAGGCATTCCACCAGCAGCCTATCAAAGCTCACACACCAAAGCAATACATTTGCACTGTACCATCACTTGGGCCGCAGTGTGAGTTCATACACTATCCTTGAAGAATAGCAATTTCCATCAAGCCCCCAAGGGTTGTCTGTGCATGGTCCAAGCAACAGCTCTGAGCGGTCATCCAGTTGGAGTTGGCATGAACACAGAGATATACAACAAAAGAGCATCTCAGAAGGACATGCAGCATGCTAGTAAGATCCTCCCCATCTCACCAAGGGCAGTGTCTAATAACACCTTGACAGTGTGCCCCTGGGGAATCACCAAGCACTCATATTTATCACAGATGTTTTAGCCATTATATTGTAAATGAAATTAATTTTTAAGAGAAATCTATAATAAAATCTGGTACCCAGTATCAATTTCAGCATTTTTCCCCTGTTAGACAAAATAAATGTCCATAATTGGCTGCGATTTTTTCCCCAAGATTTTAGATAGTTTTAAATGAATAATTCTAAGTTGCTATATCATATACTAAGATAAACATTCCCAAGAGGCAGTTATTAAACTTACTTATGGTTGAGAACTGACGCGAACAAAATTAAGATCATCTAGCAGTGCCCAGAGCAGGTAGAAACCCATGCATCTCATTAGAAAAATCTGCTTTTAATATTTTGGTTTCAAGAAATGATGCATGACTTCTCAAATCCTTCCTGCAATTAATCCCTCCATGTTCCTGTGTTTAGAAAATGATTCATTACCTTTGAACCTTCCTTCCTTTGCCTTGGTTTGTCCTTGGGGAGCCATTAACACACTCTGTGGTGAGCTAGGGTTACCTAACTGCCAGCAACACGTCTGTTTGTTTTCACAGGTGCAGTATGCGGAATTGAAACTCTGTGGTAGTGGCAGCCCCCTTCGGAAGAAGCGCAGCGCTCTATAAGACGCACACAGACTTTTGACTCTAGCATCCTATATTATGCACTCGGTCAGACCAATGTCACGGCTATTTCAGTGGTCCTCTGGGACCTGAAGTGTGTGCCAGGTCGAGACCATGATATATGTTCTTCTCTTCTTCATGTGCACAGATGCCGACACTCCTGTGCCCACCCCTCCACATGGGGTGTTCTATCATTTGCATAGATGTCCATCCCAGCAAAAGGAACCAGTTCTGAGATTATGAAAGACACATCCATTCTGAAATAGGAGTTGAAGCAAGGCTCCCATGGATCTGAAGTCCCTCCTTAAGACCATCCAAGAGACCACTTGGGTTTGAGAGTGACAAACTGATTTTCACACCTTCAACAAATTCTGAGATTCAGTTATTTCTACTTCCCACCCCCACCCTCCTTTCAGACTATCATTCATGCAAGTTTCATCTGAATTAAGTCTATGGTAGCTATCTATTCAAATAATGTATATTACAAAAAGATTTTATAATAATTAACATAGTTACACCCAAATCTTTAGCAGTCACTACCATGAACATATATGTAAATTTTTGGTAACCCCTTGGTGCTGGATACCAGCCTACATTATGGTCCATTGCTGGCAATGGATGCCCCAGGAGGTCCCAAGGGACCACTCTTTGGAAGAATTAGGGTTTTCTGAAAGTATTTGGCTGCTTTAAAAAGCCATTTCTTCTCACTTTATTTATTTCTAAATAAAATGTCAATAGCTGGCTTCTGAAAGGCAGGGCTTAGGTGATGAATAAATGAATTCTGAGTATTTAGAAAGATAAAGGTATGAAGAGAAAAACTAATCAATCAGGGTGTTCCCTAAATATAATCATTTCATTTCCTCCAATGTTTTGAACAGAAAGTTAGAGTATTTTGATGGTCCAAATTTATCTTTGGTTCCCCTTCTGGTAAAAGTAAGCTATCGGCCATGAAAATTTTAGAACCCTGTTCCTAGAATGTAGCACCCCAAAGTCCTCTTTTGATGGCATTTGATTCCTGCATACCCCACAATTCCTCAGTAATCCCCTGAAAAATCTTGATTTTGTGCATATATAAAATATATGCAAATCTTTCTGTTCAAATAATATTTAAAGTTTAAAGAATGTATTTTATTGACACATACTTTGTATGTGCAATTTTATATATGTATATGTATTGTAAAGTAAAGTTGAGGTAAAAAGACCTAATTTAATAGTGAGTTTACTATGGTATTTTTTTTTGTTTCTGGGTTGTAATTTAATAATCTCAAACAAAATGTTTATGAAAAATGCCAAAGACTCTAAACCTTATCATCTTGTGTCTGTTTTTCTTCATATTGTATCTTCCTGGGTTTCTTTCTGGCTGAGCCAGATTTCTGCATGATTTGATTTACTTCAAGTTAATGAAGCTGGCTGGAAAAGAGCCTTGCAGAAATTATAAAAGCCCCAGTAAATCTCTTAGTTGTACATACAATAGATACCCAAGAACCTCTTTTGTTAAACCGGTTACTCAATCTTCTGTGTAAACAATGCCTCATTGTCTTGCTCCCAACTATCATCCAGTTTATCATAGTCTGTCATTTTGTAACGACCTAAGTCAGACATTTTTAAGCAGACATGTGAGATCTGATCAGTCATTTCAATGAAAACTTTCAGCAGCAAAATAACCCCTTATTTATTTAAAAGTGGAACCAATGCTTTATTGTTRTTCTTTTGCTATACAATTTCAAAATGAAACAATTTTCCCTACAAGAAGGCATCATTAGTTAGATGTTTTTCCTCTGTARCCTGACTGGAATTCTCAGCCTTAAGTTTAGGACACAAACATTAGCTGAGATATAAGATCAGGACCAAATCAACCTTTAATAGATTGTATATGGAAAACATTGCTAATTGATTAAATAGACACTGATTGTTAAAAAAAAATCAATGTTAGTTATAAGTGAAATGTTAATATTGATGCAATAACAGGAATTCCTGATATTTTGGGGGGAATTCCTAAGACCCCTACTGGGTGCTTGACACCTCAGATAATACCAGTCCCTATAATTTAATGCCTTAAATAAGCACTTATCATACCCTGTGGTCATAAATTTTGCAGATTGATGTGTGACAGMAAAACTAACATGAATTTTTTTCTTCTAAAATTTCATGTATAAAAATTCGTTTTTATCCTAGATCTTAGCAGCCTCAGCATAAGATTTTTTTTTTTTTTACTTATCAAATTGAAAACTTGCATATTTTCACTCAAAGGAAGTACTTTCTAGCCCATCCAAATTCCCAGCATTATTACTCCTGGGCTTTGGCAGGTTCCATGAACACAAGCACTGCAGTACTTAGTCTGATAACTGAAATGGGAACTGAGTGACTGACAGCATATACAGTATGGACACATGGACAAAAGGATGATTCACATCATAGGCAGCATGAAGCACAATGGCATAAGGTATTGTTACATTATTCAGAGTGCTTTGGAATTTGAATGTGTAGTTTTGTTCCTTCTGGAGTTTTCTATTTAATAATTTTGAAGCATGGTTCACCAGGGGCAACTGAAACCACTGAAAGTGAAATTGAGGGTAAGGAAGAACTATCAGAAGTTTAAGAACAATTCTAGAATAAGTGAGCATGCCCACTAGGGTCTCTCTTCTTCTGAAACCATTATTGCCATCATGAGAGCCTCACCTTCATAGATRGGGCCTCTTCACATCCTAATTACCTGCCCAAGTCCCCATCTCAATACCAGGTGAGGATTAAGTTTCCAATAAGTAAATTCTGGAGGATGCACCAAACCATAGAAAAATTATGCTGGCATTTGCCAGATTCTGCAAGAGGTCAGAGTTACCAAAAGGCTTGACCCCCACTGTCTTCAACTGGACCTCCTATCCTGACACCTAAGATATAACATTTCAATCTAAGGAACAACATTTCTAACAGACCAGTTCACAGACAAATTTTCATTGTTCTCTTTCATGTGCTCCTGTTAGAACATAGTTCTAAACTGGACAGATCAGTGTAGTCTATCCTGGAGAATGTATTTCTTGCTTTAAATAGGAAGTTTTCTTTGTGCAATATTATTTATAATCCCTGGCAATGTTAATTACCAACTTCTAAATTAAACTATGTCTTACATTCAGAGTTCTTACCTTCATGTTAATAGAAATATCTGTGGACAGTAAAACAATCTTTACATTCTTTGTTTCCTTGTACCATTATTTAATAAACATTGATTAACAAACACTGATRATGCACCTGAATGAAACAGAAAATGTTCCCCTGGTAGAACCAGATGTTAAATTGATACTTTCAAGCAACAGCATGACATGCTCAGACTCCAGTTTCAAGAAAACAATCCTTTTATGTGCAGTGGGTTTATGAACAAATATGAATGTTCAGAGACATCATAAGGCAATTGTAATGCTCCTGATAAATTAATGATGTCCTGAACTTTCAAAAACTGGCACAGAAAACAATGAAATCAGGAGTTTAGGAGATATAATGAGCAGAACTTGACTATTCTTGACTATGAGAAAAGGGAGAGAAAGTCAAGGATGGCCACTCAATGGACATTCAAGAATGCAAGAATGTTGATATTTTACAGACTTTGATGCCAAGCCTAGGAAGATGGTATTGCCTTTCACTGAAAAAAACTATAGAAACAGCCATGGAAGGAATTTGTGAGCTAGGTTTAGCATTGCATTGAGGTGCCTGAGAATGAAAATTGGTAGAATCACTTTTTGAAAAGTTTGGTAGTATCTRTTAAAACTGACATATGTGCCCTATACCCTTGCTCCATATGAAGTTCACACTTAAGTATATAAACAACACTTGTGTATATAAATGTTTAATGAAAGACATGGATGAATATCCATAGCCACACTCCCTCTCATTCTCAAACTGAAACTCTATTTCCATTAATATTTGAGTTAATCCACAAACTGCTACTATGAAATGGAATACAATAAAGATGTGAATGATTAATGTTACATATAACAATAGGGATGAGTGTCAAAAACAATGCTGAACTGGATACTCCAGCACAAATTGATACAATGTTTAATTTCATTAGCATCAAGTTCGAAGACAGACAAAACCCTATCTCCAGTTCTAGAATTGAGGATGCTTCGGGAGCAGTGACTAAATGAGGTCAAAATCAGACTCCTGGGATGATGCCAACATTGTCTTGTTTTGGTCTAGATTCCAGTTACATGAGCTTTGGTCAACTGCTGAAAATTTGTTGAGCTATGAACTTAGGATCTGTGTAATTTCTGCATGTTCACTGAGAAGAAAAAAACTAAAGTATTACAATTTTATTCCTATTTTATGGTTAAAGAAATGGAAGCCAAACACTTAAGTATTTTAAAGAAAGAGCCAGTCACATTTTTAACATTTTAAATGTGTTATCATAAACCAATTAAAATGATCATTTAAATTTTGTGTAAGRGCTTGGAGTCATTTTAAACAAACTCAAAGCAGATAGTAGTTGAATATTTAATTCTCATCTTCATACAAATCAATCATCACTTCAAAATATCTCTATTACCAAGAGTAATAGCTTATTACTCACAAAAGCATTGAAAATTTGCTTTATGTGAGAAAACTGGCCAATATAACCTCAGCATCTGAAATGTTCCAGAAAATATTTTTAAGTTGTATTTATGTTCATTTGGCTCAGCAGCCTGGGACTTCATTTCTCATATAAGTTATTTTTTCACACATTAAAATTTGTAGAGAAAAAGGTCCTACTGCTTTTTGAATATCTGAGGACAGTTATATAGTTTTTCTCCCATAGGAAGAAATAGATTAGATGAACAGACATACACACATACACACACACACACATAAAAAAAATTTTAATTTCATATATTTCCAAAACTTAGTAACTTGACACTGAGTAAGATTCCAAGAATTTCAACTTTCAGGGTAAGTACTCTATGTTTGCCTCTGGCTGCCTTTGCAACCACCAGCTAGAGAAAGTGTTTTGCTGGGACCCCAATGGCAGCTCAAGG